ATTCGATTTTGACATGTTTCACCGATAAAAAGATTTTTATTACAGTTTACATAATCGAGATAAAACGTGATTCACGTTAAAAACCCGAACTTTAATCGTATCGCTATAGAAATTAGATTGCATCTAATTTCAACTGACCTTTTATTTCTTTCTTTTAAGTTTTTCGTACCCCATGTTGTTTGTCGTCTATTTAGTAAGAATGGAAACATCTAACAACATGAATGTTTTCGGAAGATATGATTAAAACTCAAATTAATATTACAATTACTTAAATTGTCTTACATATTAATGAAACAACTATAATAACTTTTGTATACTTTGCTTGGAATTGCATTTTTAATTTTAGATGTACGCAGCCGCGACATATATGTGAGTGCGCATGCGTGCGTGCATTTCTATCACATAGTGCCTTTCCATCATGATGGCTGATATCTTCTCTCTGGCTAAAAGCGAAAACAAATTTTCTTGCAGCGCCAGCAGTCTTCTTTCGAGTTCTGTTGAAAGTTTAGAGTTTTGGAAAGCTTTTATTTAATTTTTTTTCACAAAGTCGCTTGTTTCCAGACGTTAGATACCAGATACATTTTCTGTAGCCAGTTAAAATCTGAAATAACCATTTAGTTGTTCGTCATTCTACAAAAAGAGTTGAATGTTTGCGATAAAATCCTAGAAAATAAAACTACTGTTTAAAAAGTATATAATAATAATTTAAACAAACACCCCCCCCAAAAAAACTCGACATTTCGCGTGACGAATGCGCAAACAAGAAAAGTCTAGGACAGAAATGTTAATTTGGCGTGGAGGCAGAAAAATATTTGAATTTATTAAGTAAGGAATGTGGCTTAAAATTCATTACAAGGTTTAGGAAGTGTATATAGTCAGGATAGAAACGAAAATTCATTCCGATTATTGGGTAATGGACCAACATCCATGTTTATAACAATATTGAAAACCAGTATAACTTGTTGGCGAAGAAGTGGTTCAGTGTTTGCTCAGGCTTAAATTTTATTTGCGTTAAAAATGGATGCGGAATGGAAGAGGATAAAAACAGAAAGAAACGGAGAAAGGCGGAAAGAGGCAGATAGAGAGATGAGGGAGAGAGAGAAAGAGGAAGATAAGGAGAAAAAGAAAGAAGAAAAGAAGAGGAAAGTAACAGAAAGAGGAAGGAAAAGAAAAAGAGAAATGATGAGAGAAAAATATTTGATTGGTTGTTTTTGTTTAGTGGCAAATCAAAACCTGTCATTTATTTAATGTCGAAATATTTTGTCCCTCAGTTTTTATTTATTTATTTATTTGTTTTTGAAGATAATAAAGTTATTTTTAGTGATACAAGTTTTACTAATTAACCCATAGATGTGTGGGGAGAAGAGGTGGATTGCGGCTACAAGCACATTCAAGCTTACAACACCTGCTATTCCCAAACGGTTACCCATCTAAACACTGACCAGGCTTGATGTTGTTTAACTTCGGTAATCGCACGTGAAACGGTGTTCCCAATTAACCCATACCTGGGGGACAAGTGGTGGCTTCTTACTTTACCCATACATTACATTTTGTACGTAAGTGAATATAACAAACCCAACGTGTATTGGAACTCGGCTCTCCGATTAACAATTGTAACCATTACACCACCCGCACATTCAAGCTTACAGCACCTAGTATTCCCAAGCGGTCACCCATATAGGTAATGACCAGGGTGGATGTTTTCTTAATTTCGGTGATTGTATCGGAACTCAGCTCTCCGATTAACAATTCTGAGCCATTATCCATTGCACCACCCGCACATTCAAGCTTACAGCACCTGGTATTCCCAAGCGGTCAACCATATAGGTAATGACCTGGATGGATGTTGCTTAACTTCGGTGATTGTATCGGAACTCTGCTCTCCGATTAACATTTTCGAGCCATTATCCACTACACCAAGTGCATATTCAAGCTTAGAGCACCTGGCATTCGTAAACGGTTCCCTATCTAGATACTAACCAGGCTGGACGTTGCTTAACTCCGGTGATCGTATGGAAATTGGTTTTTCAAAGGGATGTGGCCGTAAGCCTAGAGAAAAAGAGGAAAAGGAAATGTACAAGGGAGAGAAATATAGTGAAAGAAAGAGAAAAAAAGGGAAGACAATGCGAAATAGATAGACGGAGAAGAAAAATGAGGAAGAAAGTGAGAAAAAGCAGAAAGAGGGAAAAAGGGAAAGAAAGAGAGAAAAGTAGAAAGTAATACAGAGAAAAGTGTGTGGAAGGAAAAAGAAGTAAAGGGGAGAAGAAGAGGAAGGTGTGAAGGAAAAAAAGAAAAGAGAAAACGCGGAAGAAGGTGACAAAATGGAAGAAGAGAAAAAGTGATAGAAAAGAAGAGGAAGGAAGGAAGTAAAGAGGAAGGAAGAGAGAAAAAAGGAAGAGAGAAAAAAGGAAGAGAGAAAAATTGAAAGAAAAAGAAAAAAGGGCGAAATGTGAGAAAAAGAAGAAAGAGAGAAAAAAGGAAGAGAGAAAAAAGCAAGGGAGAAAAATTGAAAGAAAAAAAGAGCGAAATGTGAGAAAAAGAAGAAAGAGAGAAAAAATGAATAGAGAAAAAAGGAAGAGAGAAAAAAAGCAAGGGAGAAAAATTGAAAGAATATGAAAAAAGCGCGAAATATGAGAAAAAGAAAAAAGAGAAAAAGGAAGAGAGAAAAAAAGCAAGAGAGAAAAATTAAAAGAAAATGAAAAAAGCGCGAAATGTGAGAAAAAGAAGAAAGAGAGAAAAAAAGGAAGAGAGAAAAAAGGAAGACAGAAAAATTGAAAGAAAAAAAGCGCGAAATATGAGAAAAAACGAAAGAGAAAAAAAGCAAGAGAGAAAAAAAGGAAGAGAGAAAAAAGAAAGAGAGAAAAAAGGAAGAGAGAAACATTGAAAGAAAAAAGCGCGAAATGTGAGAAAAAAAGGAAGAGAGAAAAAAGGAAGAGAGAAAAAAGTAAGAGAGAAATTGAAAGAAAAAGAAAAAAGCGTGAAATGTGAGAAAAAGATGAAAGAGAGAAAAAAAGGAAGAGAGAAAAAAGGAAGAGAGAAAAAAAAGAAAGAGAGAAAAAAAGAAAGAGAGAAAAAAGCAAGAGAGAAAAATTGAAAGAAAAAAAAAAGCCGGAAATGTGAGAAAAAGAAGACAGAGACAAAAAAGCAAGAGAGAAGAAAAGGAAGAGAGAAAAAAGGAAGACAGAAAAAAGAAAACAGAAAAAAAGCAAGAGAGAAAAATTGAAAGAAAATGAAAAAAGCGCTAAATGTGAGAAAAAGAAGAAAGAGAGAAAAAAGCAAGAGAGAAAAAAGAGAGAAAAACAGGAAGAGAGAAAAATTGAAAGAAAAATGCGCGAAATGTGACAGAAAGAATGGGAGAAAAAGAAGAAAGAGAGAAAAAAGCAAGGAGAGAAAAAAGAAGGGAGAAAAAAAGAAAGAGAGAAAGAAGGAAGAGAGAAAAATTGAAAGAAAAAGAAAAATGCGCGAAATGTGAGAAAAAGAAGAAAGAGAGAAAAAAAAGGGAGAAAAATGGAAGAGAGAAAAAAGATAGAGAGAAAAAAGCAAGAGAGAAAAATTGAAAGAAAAAAAAGGGAAATGTGAGAAAAAGAAGAAAGAGAGAAAAAGCAAGAGAGAAGAAAAGGAAGAGCGAAAAAAGATAGAGAGAAAAAGAAGACAGAAAAAAAGCAAGAGAGAAAAATTGAAAGAAAAAGAAAAAAGCGCGAAATGTGAGAAAAAGAAGAAAGAGAGAAAAAAGCAAGAGAGAAAAAAAAGAGAAAAACAGGAAGAGAGAAAAATTGAAAGAAAAATGCGCGAAATGTGACAGAAAGAATGGGAGAAAAAGAAGAAAGAGAGAAAAAAGCAAGGAGAGAAAAAAGGAGAGAGAAAAAAAGGAAGGGAGAAAAAGGGAAGAGAAAAAAATTGAAAGAAAAAGAATAAAGCGTGAAATGTGAGAAAAAGAAGAAAGAGAGAAAAAAAGGGAGAAAAAAAGGAAGAGAGAAAAAAAAAGAAAGAGAGAAAAATTGAAAGAAAAAATCGGGAAATGTGAGAAAAAGAATAAAGAGACAAAAAAGCAAGAGAGAAGAAAAGGAAGAGCGAAAAAATATAGAAAGAAAAAAAGAAGACAGAAAAAAGGAAGACAGAAAAATTGGAAGAAAAAGAAAAAAGTGCGAAATGTGAGAAAAAGAAGAAAGAGAGAAAAAAAGGAAGAGAGAAAAAAGGAGCATAGAAAAATTGAAAGAAAAAAAACCCCGAAATGTGAGAAAAAGAAGAAACAGAGAAAAAAGGAAGGGAGAAAAAAAGGAAGAGAGAAAAAGTGAAAGAAAAAAAAAGCCCGAAATGTGAGAAAAAGAAAAAAAAAAGTAAAAAGTAAGAGAGAAAAAAGTAAGAGAGAAAAAAGGAAGAGAGAAAAAAGGAAGACAGAAAAAAAGGAAGACAGAAAAAAAGGAAGACAGAAAAATTGAAAGAAAATAGCGGAAAATGTGGGAAATAGAAGAAAGAGAGAAAAAAGCAAGAGAGAAAAAACGAAGAGAAAAATTAAAAGAAAAAAAGCGCGAAATGTGAGAAAAGAAGAAAGAGAGAAAAAAAGGAAGAGAGAAAAAAAGGAAGACAGAAAAATTGAAAAAAAAAACCGAAATGTGAGAAAAGAAGAAAGAGAGAAAAAAAGGAAGAGAGAAAGAAGAAGACAGAAAAATTGAAAAAAGAAAACGAAATGTGAGAAAAAGAAGAAAGAGAGAAAAAAGGAAGAGAGAAAAAAAGGAAGAGGGAAAAATTGGAAGAAAAAGAAAAAAGCGCGAAATGTGAGAAAAAGAAGACAGAGAGAAAAAAGAAATAGAGAAAAAAGGAAGAGAGTAAAAAAGAAAGACAGAAAAATTGAAAGAAAAAAAAACCCCGAAATGTGAGAAAAAGAAGAAAGAGAGAAAAAAGGAAGAGGGAAAAAAAGGAAGAGAGAAAAAAAGCAAGAGAGAAAAATTGAAAGAAAAAAAAAGCGCGAAATGTGAGAAAAAGAAGAAAGAGAGAAGAAATCAATAGAGACGAAAAGGAAGAGAGAAAAAAGGAAGAGGGAAAAAAGGAAGACAGAAAAAGCGCGAAATGTGAGAAAAAGACGAAAGAGAGAAAAAAGCAAGAGAGAAAAAAAGCAAGAGAGAAAAAAAGGAAGACAGAAAAATTGAAAGAAAATAAAAACGCGCGAAATGTGAGAAAAAGAAGAAAGAGAGAAAAAAGCAAGAGAGAAAAAAGGAAGATAGAAAAATTGAAAGAAAAAGAAAAAGCGCGAAATGTGAGAAGAAGAAGAAGAAAGAGGGTAAGTAGTAGAAGAAAGAAAATGAGAGGGCGAAAGAGTGAAAAGGGGCGAGATTGAGAAAAAAGAGCGAAATTGAGAGAAAGAAAATTAAAAAAAGCGGAAAAGTGGCAACATAGTAAATACTTTAGACTAAAAGAAAGCCTTAAGATTCTAAAAATGAAAAAAAATACAAGATAGTATAAAGGGATTCAGAAAAAGAGGAAGAAAATGCAAAAAAAAAAAAAGAAAGTTGAATAAAGCAGACAGAAAGAGAAAAAATGGGGATGGAAGAGATAAAAAGAGGAAGAGAGAGAAAAAGAGGAAGAGAGAGAAAAAGAGGAAGAGAGAGAAAAAGAGAGATAGGAAGAGAAAATATGAAGGAAGAGAGGGTAATGGAGAAGTAGGGAGAAAAAAGAAGAAAGTGAAAAAAAAAAAAGAAATTAGACAAAAAGAGGAAGAAAGAGGAAAAAGGTGGAAGCAAAAAAAATAAAAAAATAAAAAAGCGGAAGAAATCGCGGGAAAAAGGAAGCCGATAGAAGAGAGAAGACTACGAAAAGAGAGAAAAAGGAAGAAAGAAAGAGAAAGGAAGAGAAGAAGGGAGGGAGAAACAAGGAATAAGGAAAAGAGGGAGGAAGAGAGAAACAGAAAAAGGAAGAGACGAAGGAAAAGAGAAAGAGAAGAAGGAAGAAAGGAAGGAAGAGGGAAAAAGAAAAGAGGAAAGATGAATGAAAATAAGGAAAAGGGGGAGGAAGAGAGAAACAGAAAAAGGAAGAGACGAAGGAAGAGAGAAAGAGAAGAAGGAAGAAAGGAAGGAAGAGGGAAAAAGAAAAGAGGAAAGATGAATGAAAATAAGGAAAAGGGGGAGGAAGAGAGAAACAGAAAAAGGAAGAAAGGAAGTGAGAGAGAAACAGAAGGAGGAAGAGAGAAAAAGAAGAATGAAGAGAAGAAGGAAAAGAGAAACAGATTAAGGAAGAGAGGATCAGAAGAAAGGCTGGAAGAGAGAAACAGAAGAGGGGGGTGCGAAGAAGAGAAGAAGGAAGAGAGAAAGTATGGAAGAGCGAAAGGAAGAGAGAAACAGAAGGAAGAGAGGAAGGAAGAGGGAAGCAGAAGCAGGGGGGAGAAAGTAATAGAGTAAAAGAAGGAAAGAGAGAACCAGAAGAAAAAAGAGAGGAAGAAAGCGAAAAAGAGAAGAAGGAAGACAGAAACAGAAGGAGGCGGAGAAGAAGAAAGATAGAAACAAAAAAAAAGAGAGAGGGACGAAGAGAGATAAAAGAGAGAGTAAGGAGTCGAAGGAGGAGAAAAACAGGAGAAGGAAGAGATAACAGAAGGGGAAGTGATGAAAGAAGAAAGAAACAGAAGTGAGAAACAGAAGAAGGAAGAGAGGAAGGGAGAGAGAAACAGAAAAGTGAAGGAAGAAAGAAACAGAAGCGAGAAGGAAGAGAGAAACAGAAGAAGGAAGAGGGGAAGAAAGAGAGAAACAGAAGAAGGAAGAGGGAAAAAGAAAAGAGGAAAGAGGAATGAAAATAAAGAAAAGAGGGAGGAAGAGAGAAACAGAAAAAGGAAGGAAGAGAGAAACAGAAGAGAGAAGGAAGAGAGAAACAGACGTGAGAAGGAATAGAGAAACAGAAGGAGGAAAAGAGGAAGGAAGAGAGAAACAGAAGAAGGAAGAGAGGAAGGGAGAGAGGAACAGAAGCGAGAAGGAAGAGAGAAACAGAAGGAGGAAGAGAGGAAGGGCGAGAGAAACAGAAGAGGGAAGGAAGAGAGAAACAGAACAGGGAAGAGAGAAACAGAAGAAAGAAAGAGAGGAAGAGAGAGAGAGAAACAGAAGAGAGACGGAAGAGAGAAACAAAAGAGGGAAGGAAGAGAGAAACAGAAGAAGGGAGAGAGAGAAAGAGAGAGAGAGAGAGAGAGAAACAGAAGAAGGAAGACAGAAACCTTAGAAGGAAGAGAAGACGGAAAAAAGAATAAAGAACGAATAGAGAGAGAGGGAGAGAGAGAGAGAGAGAGAGAGAAACAGAAGAAGGAAGACAGAAACCTTAGAAGGAAGAGAAGACGGAAAAAAGAATAAAGAACGAATAGAGAGAGAGGGAGAGAGAGAAAGAGAGAGAGAGAGAGAAACAGAAGAAGGAAGACAGAAACCTTAGAAGGAAGAGAAGACGGAAAAAAGAATAAAGAACGAATAGAGAGAGAGGGAGAGAGAGAAAGAGAGAGAGAGAAACAGAAGAAGGAAGACAGAAACCTTA